TTAGGCCTCCCAAAGTGCTGGAATTACAGGCATGAGCCATGCTCAGCCCCAAATGTGTTATTTTTAAGGCCATAAAAGAATCTTTGTCTTGGATTTCTTTTTTTATCTAGAGATCATCATTTTTTTTTAGATTTAATCCAGTTAAATCGGGGTTCACGCTTTCTTGGGTTTCTTGCTCTGTTCCCAGTTTTCCACCGAATAGCAGAGTTTCTCCAGAGGCCTCAGCACGTTGGCCGGGAGTAGCTGCCTTCACCGTAAGCACCCGTATTGGCACTGGAAAAACCATCAACAGCAAGCAAGCTGCTTTGCCTTTCCACTGCCAGAGGCTCTGCACATTTAGAAACGGAACCATGAAAGGCATAACTTTAGATTTCCTCTTACATAAATTAAAATTAATGAACTGTTTTCTTCATTTGGGATCTCATTTTTCACTCTCAGAGTAATAGTACCACAGATTCTTTCCTACCAAAATGGAGGCTCACCACTAAAGAAGCAGGCACATCCATAAACATGAAATTTCTTACATGCATCTCTAGCATTCTGCTGATTGAAACCATTTTCTTTTAACCGTAGTCACTTTGAAGGCTGGAGGTTGGGTTATGCACCACTTCCATTCGGGACTGCAACTCAGCACATCCTCATTGAGGGCCAATATGCGCAAGCTATGCTTGAAAAGCTGGGAACCACCTGGAGGCCGATGCTGACTCCTGCCCTAAGGCGCTCAGCTCAGTCCTGTAGCTGTTGTGCGCCTGCACTGAGGCTTACTGCCCAACAAGGATTGACTTTACCACGTTGGGTTGTGGTATGAGTACCAGAAGAGGAATTTTTTTAAACCTAGTGCTTCAAAGGCAGGAGGGTAGGAGATGTGGTAGTTTAGCAAAAGCTTCTGGAAGCAGAGGCTGGACACAATGGGGAAGACATAGACATTCACAAATGCTTAACAGAACGCCAGGCACTAAATCAGGCTCATTCCAAACATCATTCTTCTTTTTTGAGAGTCTTGCTCTGTCTTGCTCTGTCACCCAGGCTGGCATGCAGTGGCACGATTTTGGCTCACAGCAGCCTCCGCTTCCTGGGTTCAAGTGATTCTCATGCCTCAGTCTCCCGAGTAGCTGGGACTATAGCTGGGACTACAGGCATGTGACACAATGCCCAGCTAATTTTTGCGTTTTTTAGTAGAGACGGAGTTTCACCATGTTGGCCAGGCTGGTCTCAACCTCTTAACCTCAGGTGATCTACCGTCCTTGGCCTCCCAAAGTGCTGTGATTACAGGTATGTGCCACCACATCCAGCCCCGCACCCCCTTCTTCTCACTCTGTCAATCAGGCTGGAGTGTACAATCATAGCTCACTGCAGTCTTGAACTCCTGCACTGAAGGGATCCTCCCACCTCAGCTTCCTGAGTAACTAGAATTAGAGGCACATGCCACCGTACCCTGTTAATTTTTTAATTATATTTTTGTAGAGACAGGGTCTTTCTGTGTTGCCCAGGCTGGTCTCAGACTCCTCAAGTGATCCTCCTGTCTCAGCCTCCCAAAGCTCTGGAATTATAGGCATGAGCCAACACATTTGGCCTCATCTAATTTTCTAATATGATTTAAAGTTTCTTGTTTGCAGTTAATTACAAATTAAAGAGATTGGAAAATATCAGCAAAAAACATGATCATACTAGACATACTATTTTAAAACTTGTTTTTACGAGTTAGTACATTTTCTGTCGTTAAGTATGCTTTTTCACAAACTCAAAGATGGCATGATTTCTTATCTTGCCTTGTCTTTTCTTTCCTTTTTTGTTAGTTTTTTTTTTTTTTGAGACAGGGTTTCACTGTGTTGCACAGGCTAGAGTGCAGTGACACAATCTCACCTCACTATAGCCTCAACCTTACAGGTTCAAGCAAACCTCCTGCCTCAGCCTCCCAAGCTCCTGGGACTATGGGTGCACATCACCACACTTGGCTAATTTGTATATTGTTTGTAGAGACAGAGTTTTACCATGTTGCCCAGGCTAGCTAGTCTTGAACTCCTGAGCTCAGATGATCCACCAGCCTCAGCCTCCCAAAGTGTTGGGATTACAGGAGTGAGCCTCTGCACCTGGCCCCTGCATGATTTCTTTAACCATTTCCTGTGTAGCTAAATAGGTAAGAAGAAATAAACATACAAAGAGTTAAACCCTGAAAGTATTAGGAGAAAATATATAATGTAAATGGTGGACATATTTTTAAAAGCATGATATTAAGTATAGACAGGTAGGCTGGGTGTGGTGAAACCCCATCTCTTCGAAAAATACAAAAAAAAAAAATTAGCTGGGCTTGGTGGTGGGCATCTATAATCCCACCAACTCAGGAGGCTGAGGCAGGGGAATCACTTGAACCCAGAAGGCAGAGGTTGCAGTGAGCTGAGACTGCACCATTGTACTCCAGCCTGGGCGACAGAGCAAGACTCTGTCGCAAAAAAAAAAAAAAAAAAAAAAAGAAAAAAAGAAAGTAAGAAAGTAAAAAGGATCGAAAAATAAAAGAAAAGATGAATAGTTTTGAACCCATAAAAATTAAAAATCCTTTGGGTATCAAGAGTACTCTAAATAAAATGTAAAGGCACTGTCTTGTTTAACTCTCACAATAGCTTTGTGAAGTAGGTACTTAGCTTTAGAGAAGGGGAAACTGAGGCATAGAGAACTGACAGAGTGGAAATCATCGCTTTCTATGAGATTGATGATTTTTCTGTGTGTGTGTGTGTGTGTGTGTGTGTGTGTGTGTGTGTGTATGTGACAGAGTCTCACTCTGTCACCCAGGCTGGAGTGCAGTGGTGAAATCTTGGCTCACTGCAGCCTCCACTTCCAAGTTCAAGCTATTCTCCTATCTCAGCCTCCCCATTAGTTGTGACCACAGGTGCATGCCACCATGCCCAGCTAATTTTTGTTTTATTTTGTTTTGTTTTTTGGAGACAGAGTCTCGGCCTTTCACCAACACTGGAGTGCAATGGTGCCATCTCAGCTCACTGCAACTCCCGCCTCCCAGGTTTAAGTGATTCTCCCGCCTCAGCCTCCCAAGTAGCTGGGACTATAGACATGTACCACCAAGCCTGGCTAATTTTTGTATTTTTAGTAGAGATGGGGTTTCACATGTTGGCCAGGCTGGTCTCAAACTCCTGACCTCAAGTGATTTGCCTGCCTTGGCCTCCGAAAGTGCTGGGATTACAGGCATGAGCCACAGCACCCGGTGAGACTGATGATCTTGGTGAAGCTGATAAAATAAGAGGCAGAGTGAGGAGGTAGCTCAAGTTTGGTCTTTCCGACAGCCTTGGATATGAATTCCTGCTTTACCACTTAGGAAAGGTGATGGAAGGGCAGCTTTTTAGACAGTTGAAAATACTATATTTTCATTCTGTATTTTAAAGTGTTCACTTACACATGCTTTCTCATGATAACTATTTTGACAAAAAAAAATTAACTTTTTTAGATGTCTTGAAAGGAATGTCAGGTGGATCTTAAAATACGAAATTCAGAGACAGCAAGAACAAATTAGATGCTAATTACAATTCCTTTTACTATCCCATGGTACACTATACTGTCTCTAAAATAGTGGAAATTGTCAAGGCCACACTTGAATAGGTATAGTATCATATAGATCATTAACTACTTTTGAAAGAGATGGAAGGTAAAAGCCAAAACTGTATGAGCTGTTATCAATTAGGCAAAATAGAATAAAAGAGTGTCCAGCTATCATAATAGTTTATTAGTGGGAAAATCTGGAATGAAGAAGTTTAGAATTTAAATGTTGTTTAGGTTATCTTTAGGTAGATCCAATCAAGTTTAAAATTCTACCACATCTTAGATGTGAGCAGATGGCTCATTGACGGCGTTCAGTAAAATCTTTCTGCATAGTTGGTTTAAAATTTGACTTAACACAATGATATAATATTTATCTTCTCTAGAGTAACAAAATTTGTGTTATATAATAACCTTGACATGTTTACAAAATCATGTTTAATGGGCTCTCGAGAGCTCCGGTGAATACCCCAATTTGGTCTGTTTTCAGCTTTTTTTTTCTTTTCTTTTCTTTTTTTTGAGGCAGTGTTTTGCTCTGTTGCCCAGGCTGGAGTGCAGTAGCGTGATCTCAGCTCACTGCAACCCCCGCTGTCTGGGTTCAAGTGATTCCCCTGCCTCAGACTCCTGAATAGCTGGGACTACAGGCACCTGCCATCACACCTGGCTAATCTTTTGCATTTTAGTAGAGACAGGGTTTCACCATGTTGGTCAGAATGGTCTCAATCTTCTGACCTCATGATCTGCCCACCTCGACCTCCCAAAGTGCTAGGATTACAGGCATGAGCCACCGCTCCTGGCTTGTTTTCAGCATTTTTAAGGAATCTGGGAAAGCTGTAGGAAATGAAGTATCCATTGTAAACTTTTTGTATCAGGCTTAACTACTGCTTTCTTGAAGTTTAGCCAAAGGATAAAGGACTGTATGTTCTTCATTAACTATAGTCAAAACTGAATTTAATAATTTTTGATAGCTGTTTAGAATAACTGTTTGAATCTCTCCTATGAAGAATATTAAGATTTTTAGCATTGGAGAGTCCTAATATACCCACTTAAAATTCAGAAGACTTACGGTCAGATGTGGTGGCTCATGGCTGTAATCCAAGCACTTTGGGAGTTTGAGGCAGGCAGATCACTTGACGCCAAGAGTTCAGGACAAGCCTGGCCAACATGGTGAAACCTCATCTCTACTAAATACACAAAAAAATTAACCAGGCATGGCGGCGGATGCTGGTAATTCCAGCTACTCAGGAGGCTGAGGCATGAGAATCGTTTGAACTCAAAAGGCGGAGGTTGCAGTGAGCTGAGATCGCACCACTGCACTCCAGTCTGGGCGACAAAGTGAAACTGTCTCAAGAAAAAGTAAAAATTAATAGTCTTTGTCATTTAATTCCTTGTATGTACATATATGCTTGTAGACACGTGTAATTATAATTTAGCACATTTTATTTTTTCCCAAACAGATAAACAATCAGATTCTGTATGGAAGAAGTCACCAAAATGCATCTGCCATTATTAAGACTGCCCCATCAAAGGTCAAGCTGGTTTTCATCAGGTAAGATTGCTGGATCTGGTTTTGCAAAATCAAAGACCTCTTCTGAAGATGTTATTAGTGTAAGACTATGTCATATTTGGTTTGTCTGGCAAAATCACTGTTCCTTCTAAAAACACATATTCCTTTTGTAACTGTCACTTTAAGAAAGTATTATTTTGATTATGAGATTTTCTTATTTGCTTTTCATGTTTCACAGGATAGAATTGGTAGCTGAGGCTAGTACTTATATTTCAGTTACAAAACATTCTTCCATTTCTGAATCCATTTATCTTGTATATAAACATAATGAAACCTGCTAACATTTCTTCCTGTCTCTATTATTTGGCACATTAGCTGAATCATTAATATCTTCATTAAAGAATAAAGAGGAAAACAGAACTGAGGGCATTTTTAGGAGCTTTTTTTTCCCTTTTAGTTGCATTTATTTTGAGGCTGAATTTACTCCCATGCCATAAGTTTTTGCTTCTTCAGTATCTTCTGGGATATCTTCTTCTTCTGGGCAACCTCCTCTTCTGGTTTAGGAACAATCTGTTCCTTTTCAGTAAGGATCATCTCAGTGTGGCAGGGAGGACTCATGTATGGGTTAATACGAGCATGAGCTCTGTAGGTCCCACGCAATCTGTTCCTTTCCAGTAAGGATCATCTCAGTGTTGCAGGGAGAACTCATGTATGGGTTAATACGAGCATGAGCTCTGTAGGTCCCGCGCAATCTGTTCCTTTCCAGTAAGGATCATCTCAGTGTGGCAGGGAGGACTCATGTATGGGTTAATACGAGCATGAGCTCTGTAGGTCCCGCGCAATCTGTTCCTTTCCAGTAAGGATCATCTCAGTGTGGCAGGGAGGACTCATGTATGGGTTAATACGACCATGAGCTCTGTAGGTCCCGCGCAATCTGTTCCTTTCCAGTAAGGATCATCTCAGTGTGGCAGGGAGGACTCATGTATGGGTTAATATGACCATGAGCTCTGTAGGTCCCGCGCAATCTGTTCCTTTCCAGTAAGGATCATCTCAGTGTGGCAGGGAGGACTCATGTATGGGTTAATACGACCATGAGCTCTGTAGGTCCCGCGCAATCTGTTCCTTTCCAGTAAGGATCATCTCAGTGTGGCAGGGAGGACTCATGTATGGGTTAATACGAGCATGAGCTCTGTAGGTCCCGCGCAATCTGTTCCTTTTCAGTAAGGATCATCTCAGTGTGGCAGGGAGGACTCATGTATGGGTTAATACGAGCATGAGCTCTGTAGTTCCGGCGGCGCATCTTGGGTGCTTTGTTTACTTGGATATGCTCAGTGACCAGAGAATCTACATCTAAATCCTTAAGTTCAGCATTACTCTGCATTTTTAAGCATGTGCAGCAAAAATTCAGTACTCTTTTTGGGCCATCGACCTTGTGTCCAGCATCACTGCTTGGCCTAGGCACACCTGCCAACTCCACCATTGTAATGTCGGAATGGTACGCACTGTTTCTGTAAAGTGACATCTTTCAGATACTTTGTGGCTTTTCGTATATGCATACCCTTGATGGCCTGGGCAGTTTCATGTGTGTTCTTAAAGTGAACAGGAGGATTGAAACCTCTTGATTTGCATGACTTTGTGGGGTTCTCCGGATCAAGTGAATAGCGAACCATTTTCACAGATTACCACTAGACACTGGACGTCCGGAGTCGGCATGGACCACCGGCCCCTACCAGTGGAGGGACTCGGTCGTCCTCACTCCCGCCCATCACGTTCCTCTGCAAATGGCAGAGGCCAATCGGCACCGGCTTCCAAAGTCGGCGCTCAGCCACGTCCCCCTGCATGAGAAACCATCGCCACCAGCGAGGATTTAGTAGCCTTGGGAGTTCTCCTCACTGGGCCCTGGAGGCCGCAGCCCCCGAGGCCAGGATAGCGGCGATGGCAGGAGAATTGAGCACTTGGAGCAACACAGGAGAACCACTCGGAGCTTTTTGTTTTTTTTCCACAGATGGGGTTTCACCATGTTGGCCAGGCTGGTCTCGAACTCCTGACCTCAGGTGATCCACCCACCTCAGCCTCCCAAAGTGGTGGGATTACAGGTGTGAGCCACTGAGCCCAGCCAGGAGCTTCATTTTAAGAGTGCCGGTGAGCAGCTCAGATGGAGAAGGTGTCAGCACTGCTGCCTAGAGTTGTATTGTGTATTTAGGGCTTTACATTTACCCAGACCTCCCCTGCAAGCTGATAGAGCTCTCATGGTACAAGCAAATCAGAATTAGGGATCTTACTGTTTGTAGCCAACATTGCCACATAAGCAGTAGAAATGAGGTTGTTTGATTCTCTTTATTGGACTGAAATGACAAGTAAATCTGAATTATTTTTAGGTCATTGTACCTAACCCTCTATGTTCACTGTAGCTCTGCTTCTTTTTCCTTCTGGGACTCAGTTCACCCGTAAAATGGGATAGTAAAGCACCTCCCTCATTCATTGTGATATTTCAGAAATTGAAAATGATCAATACAATATCTAGCATAGAGTAAGGGCTGAAAGAATGTTAGCTGCTATTTTAGGATGATGACGGTCATCAGTATTCTTCCCTTTCTCATCAGTTACCAGCAGTGAGATCTGTCCATTCCCAGGGACCACTGGGATTAGGAGGTGGTTTTATTACCAGCATGGGCACTAATGTGATTGAAATATTCCTTCCCACTTCTATTTTGCTCCTGAAGAAATCCTACAATCCTGGGGCCAGGCATGGTGGCTCACATCTGGAGTCCCAACACTTTCGGAGGCTGAGGCAGGAGGATCACCTGAGGTTCGAAGTTTGAGACCAGCCTGGCCAACATGGCAAAACCATGTCTCTACTAAAAAATACAAAAAATTAGCCAGGTGTGGTGGCGCATGACTGTACTCCCAGCTATTCCACAGGCTGAGGCAGGAGAATTGCTTGAACCTGGGAGGCGGAGGCTGCAGTGAGCTGAGATCCACATAATTACATATGGAAAACATATACTGTATAAAAACTCCTGGGGCTTAAGGAAATGAGATGAAACTGAAATCCCTGGAAAGATTTAGTGTACTTTAGCCCAGATGACACAGTGAGACTCTCAAAAAAAAAAAGGAAATCCTACATTAGCTTCCTGTTTTCCCATCTAGTGGCACTTCCTGGCTTTCTTGTTTTTTACTGTATTTTCAGAGAGTGAAACCTTCCTCCTTCACGTATGTCTTTGTGTGTTAAGATGACCCCTTTATGCTTAGCTATCCTTCGACATCCTCCATTAGACAGCAGTGTCCTTTTTGGTTTCCTTGTTCTTCCTTGGCAGGGGTTATAAAATTAGTTAGTTGATATAAAAAAAAAAAAAGCCTGAATAGTCTTTGAAGAAAGGTCAGCACTCAAGAGATTAAGATGTTGTTCACTGAGAAAAGTACACAAAAAGTAGTGTGTTTAGACTTGAAACTTCATATAAAGTTGTGTGGGAGCCAGGTGCAGTGGCTCACACCTGTAATACCACCACTTTGGGAGGCCGAGGCAGTAAGATGGCTTAGGCTCACACCTGTAATACCACCACTTTGGGAGGCCGAGGCAGTAAGATGGCTTAAGTTCAGGAGTTTGAGACTGGCCTGGGCAACATAGTGAGGCCCAATCCATGCAAAAGAAAAAAAAATTAGGCCGGGTGCAGTGGCTCAAGCCTGTAATCCCAGCACTTTGGGAGGCCGAGGCAGGTGAATCACGAGGTCAAGAGATCGAGACCATCCTGGTCAACATGGTGAAACCCCGTCTCTACTAAAAATATAAAAAATTAGCTGGGCATGGTGGTGTGTGCCTGTAATCCCAGCTACTCAGGAGGCTGAGGCAGGAGAATTGCCTGAACCCAGGAGGCAGAAGTTGCGGTGAGCCGAGATCACACCATTGCACTCCAGCCTGGGTAACAAGAGCAAAACTCTGTCTCAAAAAAAAAAAAGAAAAAAAATTAGGTGGGTGTGGTGTCATGTGCCCTGTAGTCCCAGCTACTCGGGAGGCTGAGGTGGAAGCGTCACATGAGCCCAGGAGGTTGAGGCTGCAGTGAGCCGTGATCTGCCACTGCACTTCAGCTTGGGTGACAGAGCAAGATCCTGTCTCAAAAAAAAAAAAAAAAATTGTGTGGCTAGTCCATGAGACGATGTATGTAGCACTTAACAGCATCAGCATCTGTACATGGTGTTTACTACGTAGTGTACTCTTGGCTGCTACCCCAAGAGCTGTTATCAACATTACTCCTACCTCTTCAGCATTTGTGGGGCCTTTATTATCCACCCTGGGCCATCCCATTTTAAAGAGAGCAAAAAGAAAATTGAATAGACTTCAAAGGAAATCATTTAATGTGATTATGTATTTGGGAAATCAAACCCTCCTCCTTGAATAAAGAAAGGTAAAATGATTTGGAATTATTTAGAAGACAGAAGAGAAAGCTGAATAGAATTCTAATCATAGTAGTAAAGCTCCATCAATTTAGAGTCAGATTATTTCAGTTTTGATCATTGAACAGAACCGAATCAGGAAAATAATTTGGTGAGCAAATTAATGGTATACACAAGATTAAGGATGTTGCTGAATGCTTATTTACTGGAAGTGATTTTAAGCAATTTAGAAGTATCAGTGTACATTTAAAATCTGTAATCTAATTGTGATCTGTCTTAGTCCATTTGGGCTGCTATAACAAAATGCCTGAGTATCTTATAAAGAACAGAAATTTATTTATTTATTTATTTATTTAGAGAGCCTTGCACTGTCACCCAGGCTGGAGTGCAGTGGTTACGATCTCAGCACACTGCAACCACTGCCTCCCGGGCTCAAACGATTCTCATATCTCGGCTTCCTGAGGAGCTGGGACTGCAGGTGTGCACCACCAGGCCCAGCTAATTTTTTGGGTATTTTTAGTAGAGATGGGGTTTCACTGTATTGGCCAGGCTGGTCTCGAACTCCTGGCCTCCAGTGATCTGCCCACCTTGGCCTCCCAAAGTGCTGGGATCACAGGCATGAGCCACTGCACCTGGCCCAGAAATTTATT